TTAAAAGAAATCATTTTTTTCGGGTGGGGGTAAACCCGTTTCTATCGGGGGTGGGTCTGGGTGATAAATTTTCACCCCCGACTGGGTTTGGAGGCGGGGCCGGGTCTGTAACAGGGAGGCGGGTGCGGATGTGGGGTTAGCTAAACCTGCCCTCACCCCACCCTGTTGTCATGCCTACTTGAAATAAAGAGTGTGATACTCCACGACCATCCCAAAACAAAGTTGACTCCATATGGGCCTTAACATTTTGAGCTTCCGCAGTCCCAAATTACTCTATGAACTTTGTCTTCTAAAAATTCGCGAACCAATAAGTATTTATCCATGTTGGCTCAAATAGGTCTCACACCACTTCCCTAAAAAAGATTATGAAAATGATCACCAATTTCTTTTTTATCTCATTTTTTTCCTTCATTATTCTTCCATTTAGAATTTTGTCGTCTTTCCTTATCTTATTAATACAACCATGGAAATATTTAGAATTTATGTTTTCTTATTTCAACCACCTATTACAAGAACTTTGGAATTTAATGATACAGTTAAGATTCACGAATTTGTGTAGATCTACATTAACTTATCTTTTACAATTAATCTACATTGATGTCAGTCCCATTGATACACCATTAATCTTAAGATTATTAAGCTCTTCTTTTGTTGCTTTTATTTTTCTCTCCAAGTTTTAAGTATGTGTTTTGTGAAACTCTTTTAATTTGATCTTGATTATATTTAACTTTTCTCCAATACAAACATCCCCTACTCTCAAAATTCAAATTAAGCCATTGTTCTTTAACAAAGTTGTCATAAACATCAATGTTCTTCCAACAGGTTAACATGCGAAAAGAATTTGGTCCCCATTTTTTGCACTGAAAAGCCAAGCAAAATGGAACAGTGATCTGATAGCCCCTTGTCTAAAGCCTATTGAGTATTGTTATGCCATAATTTGAACCACTCTTCTAATATCAGAAACATGTCTAGATGACTCATTAATGTGCCTCTAAGCCTAGAACAAGTGAACTTCCTACCATGGAGTGGTAAGTCGATTAGGTCTAAGCGTCAAATTCTTCCATTTCCTCTCTTCCATTGTTCTCAGTTGTTCCTCTTCTTTCTTCTTCCATCCTGATAGAATTAAAGCATCTTAACACATATATTCGTTCTCCATTATTCTCTTTAGCTCTCTCTGATAACTCATCCCATAAGCATATTCGTTCTCCATTATTTTCTTCTGTTATCACATGGTGCATATATGTTCACAATATTTATTTTAATCTTGTCTTTGCCCCCACCCCTTTTACCCAAACAGTGGAATCAAATGTTTGAATATTTTGAGTTGAAATTTGTCATTTGTCCTATATTGTAAGAATTCCTCCATATCTCCCTATTGATGGGTCATTGACAAAATCTAAATCATTAGAACCCCACAAAAGACATTAGTCCTTTCTATCTAGAACATCTATCTTATTTTCTTGAATACACATAAATGTTGGTTTTTGAGACTGAATTATATTTTGAACTTTTTTTTTCTTTGTGAAACAACTTATATTCCTAATATTGCAACTGATTAACTTCACTAATTAAATTTTCTAAACCCTATGCCAAAACTTCACTCTAATAACATAGGGATTTCCTTCTCCTAATTTCATTCCAATTGCGAGTTCTTGAACAATTTCTCCATCTTCATCTTAGTGAGTCAGACCAAATTCTTTCCCTAAATTTCATACATCTTTGGAAACCTCTATAGCATCCCCATATAAAAGGACCCGACTATTTTTTCCATCTCACACCCCACCAAATTCAAATTGGAATAATGACTTACCAGATTTTGTGAAGCATTACGGGTGATACAATTGTAGCTAAAAGTCATCCTCTTATTCTTCCTTCTTTTTTATTTTTTGCTTCAGAATCTCTAATATTCTTCTTTTTATTTCCTTAAAAGACACAGTCTCCTTGATTAAATATTAGTCTTTTAATGATTTTGTGTTATCCTCGATAAATTTTTTATGATGCTTGAGTAATTTTACCGCCCCTCATGTTGAATCTTGCAAAAGCTTCTTTGATTTTCTCCTTTGTTATGTTTTAATAATTTTAGGCCAGAATTGTTGTATTGGTTAAGGGGTTGAAGAAATTCTTCATTGTATCTGATTTGTGTGTTGAGATCAATAGGTCGGTCGAAACCCAAGTCAATGTTCGCCTCATAATTGCAATCTAACTCTCCACTCAACTCGGTATTTCATTTTTATTTAATTTAGGGCTTTTGGATAAAATATAGTATGGTTTACCTAGTTGAGTCATTTCTACTTTACCCGATCTAGGGTGAATTTTAATGTTTGCTCCACCTAACTTTTTGTACTTTTTTCTTTCCACCTCCTTCCTCCTTATTAGCATTAGAATTTGATTTTTTTTCCTTCAAACTTTCCCTCTCTTCATTTATATTTGACTTCAAACCAATTGAATTTTCCCTATTCTTTCCCTTAATACTTGTCCTGCTCTCTTTTTCCTTTAATAATTCTTCTTCATCGAGCGCAACAATTTGACTTTTTTTAGAATATTCCTCTTCGTGTATTAATTGCTAAAAAAATCTTTTAACCTCTTTCTTGTCCTCTTGTCTTCCAACGAGGTTATTGACACTGGTATGAACGAGTCATCTGAATTTTTTGAACCAATGTTATCTTCAACTTCTGAATTCTCCTACATGGCCACTTTATTTTCCCTAAAATCACAATAACAAAGCTCTTCAGCTATCCTTAATATTGAAGTTCTCCTTGTTGATATGAATTCTCCTTGACTTGTTGGTTAATTCCATATATGAAGTCCTCACTAGGATTGAGCCATGTCTAATCTATGTAAGTTTTCTCTTGCAGAATCTATCTTTATTTGTCTTTAAATGAATGTTACTAGAACTACGAAAATTTTCTTTCTTCAAGCATGAATGGGTACTCCGTAGATGCGGCACCATATATATCTAAATTCCACCACGTCTCTTGTTTCCCATTTTATGACTGGTTCATTGAATAATTAATTTTAATGTTTTACTAGTTCTCAGAAGTCTTCGTCCTTGTCAATTTTTAAGAACATCCATTCTCGTCTTAAAAGAAATTTCTTTTAGTGTGACGATACCTTCCTCTATTAATATTTAATGTAAAAATGATATGTTTTACATGTTTCGCACACAACCCCACGAATCATTTCTTTGCCCTTAACATTTTTCTTCACTTATATGTCTGCAACCTATTTGCACGTCTTCCTTCTTATGATTTTTTTCTCCACTCTATTGTTTCTTTTTTGTTCTTATATCTTGTATTATTTCTGATTGTATAAACATAAGATTTTCCTTCCCTTCTTCTGCTTCGAAACTTTTCAGTCACTTCCTTAAAATTGGTTGTTCTTATATATTGAATCACCAAAGGTTTGAGCTTTGGATTTCTTTTTATGTTAATAATATTAGTGACTAAATGTGTTTGATTTCTATATGTTATTGTGAAACTAACCACATTTGGTTGTCTATTTCAACAAATCTAACTAATTAAAAAAAATCTCATTTTCTTTTTTTTCTTCGCAATATACAGATCTATCCCGTCTCTCTATTTAGCTAAAGTAAAGTTCTCTCTGTATCTTTTTCAATGATGTCTAATAAGTTGTTTACATAGCATATAATTGTTCCATCTTTATTCGCTGTAGATCTATCCTTCATAAAGCGATCTAGTTCTTTTGGTCTCCTTCTTCTTGGACTCATTTATATACAATTCTTACTCGCTCATTTTTCAATAATTAATCCATCCTACTTAGAGCATAATTATTAGAGTGGTAAAAGCCTATGTGTACTATTTGGTGTCAGAGTAGCATGGATAATAAAGACTATTTATTGTGGTTTAAATTGACACTGTATCATAAAATGACACCGTTGTTTTTATGGAATATATTGGTTTTTGGTATAAATTTGAAACATAATGTAATTTGTGGGACCCATGTTAGAGTTTTAAGTAAGTAGTATAGATATTTAAAAAATATAGTTAAGTGGTTTAAATATATTATATTAGATGGGACCCACTTATACCACCAACATGAATAGTATGAATGTAGGCGCTCTTAGAGCAACTTTAACGCATAGTTGTTAAACCAAAATTTTGTATAGCTTACATTAGTAATAAGGAATTTGCATTATAGTAGAGTTGACATGGCATATGTGATGTTCTAAAACTAATTTACGTGCTCTACACAAGCAACGTACTCTAACTCATTATTTAACATAAATAATAAATTTTTATTAATTATTTAATATAAATAATAGATTTTTATTAACCTTTTAATATCAAATTTGAATTTCTTATAAACAATCGCCGTTGAAGTAAAAATTTCTTAATTCAATTTTGAATTGCTTAAATCATTCGTGTCAATTTGGACACACGTAAAATAACTTAGTTCATCCAATTTAGTTGCTCCCATTAAAGATGTTCTTAGTATCTTAAGTTCTATTTACCAACTAATTTCACAAATTAACAAACTTTTGTCGATGGATGATGGACCAACCATAAAGTGCAAAGAATAGGGGTTGATATCCTCTTCATTTCTTTGTCCCTCTATTTTCTCCATAATTATAGTTTTATGTGTAAATAACACACATTTTTAAAATATGTGACATATAATTAATATTTAATTGATTTTATATACAACAAAACTATGATAATAAAAAAAAAAAAGGAAGAATAAAGAAATGGTGAGAATATCAATCCAAAGAATAGACCCATTTTTTTCATGAAAGACGTATGATCCATCTTAATTCTTTGAGTAAATGAAAATAATCTCATATTTTATTTTAGTGTATCTATGAATCTCATCTAAACCGTCCATTCAAAGAAAGAAAATCAATCTAAACCCTATACGTTCCAACAAAAAACCACAAGACATATAAACAAACCCACTCATCTTTCTCATTTCATTTCACTCAAACATTTCCCTCATTTTCTTTCAAAACAGTTACAGAACCTAAAGAGTACAAAGAAAGCGCCATGGCAGAAACGGTTGTAGTTGAAGGAAGCAACAACGGTGTAGGAAGCAACAACGGTGTAGGAAGCAACAACGGTGTAGGAAACAGCAGCAGCTACAATCTGCAACCCTCAGGAATAGACAACGAAGATATACTCTTCTGTATCGACATTGATCCTCAATCTATGGTTGAGATGAAAGGTCTCACTGGACCCAGCGAAAGACCCCTCTCCCGTTTAGACGCCATTAAACAAGCCATCGTTCTCTTCGTCAATGCCAAACTCACCATCAATCGTCAACACCGCTTCGCTTTCGCTACTCTCTCCAATTCCGTTTCATGGGTAATTCATCATTCTTCTCTATTCCTTTTACCTAACCCTAATTTTATAATTGAATATAACGATAGTTCCATGCAAAATTACATTTTCTTGTAGTTCTTTTTATTGATGTTTTGTTAGTATCTGCATTAGCTACTACTGTATTATTCTTGAAATTTTTGTATTTACATTTACTGCATCAGTATACTCTTTGAGATTGAACTGAAATGGAAGCATAATATATGATATTAGGCTTCTTTAATTGTAGTATAAAATCAGATTTAAATGGATAAAGATTGCAAACAAATGACTCTTTAAGAAATTAACTGATGCGGTTTTTGGTCAGACGGATGATTTTACTTCACTTTGCAATTGCAGTCCGATGCGGTTGGGGAGACTACTGCATCAACAATATTGCGGCCGCAATTGCGGTTGCGGGCGGCAATTTAAAACCATGCTTTGGACAAACTATAGTAACTTTTTGAAGGATTTTACATTTCTCCCTTTTCTTCACTTTATTTTCAATTGAGCAGGGCTCGCATTGAACTAGTTAAGAGAGATTCCGTTACGACTTTAACGATACAAATTTTCCACTTTTTTACCATTCTGACTCCTGTTGTATTGGTCATTGATTTCTCTTTCCTCAAATCATTTCTTCAAAATATTCATTTTCAACTGTTAAGCTAACTGGTAAGCAATTAGTCATTTGATATTGTAATGGTGAATGCGATCTCCATTGTCCACAATAGCGTAGATAACGCTGTTTTACTCTTGTCCTTGGAGCAGTCATGAGTTTCTTTTGTAATTCAAGATTTCTCTCCTTTAACATAGGAAGGCTGCCTTTCCTTTATTGTGGGAAAATGAAAAAATCTGTTTTAGGTGATTTCAACGAGTGCGAAGTAGTTTTGTTGAGCCAACAATGACGAGGGTAGGCTAGATGCAGGACAAACCAATGGTTAGATGTCGGGACAAAGCACAATTACAAGTGTTTTGGATTAAATGATCTGTACTTATATGTGATTTATTGATTGAGCAATATGTCATTGTTGATCCATGTGGCCATTTTTATCTAATGGGGTATGTTTTGTTGTTTATCATCTTCATCTTTCCTAATCATATTTTGAGAACATATTCTTGTACTTTCAAATTTGATGTGCTATCTAGAATTGGACATTAGCACATAGGGTAATATAAATGCTTTTTTCAGGGTTTCTCAAGTTAGATATCGCTCTTTCAAACACTATATTTGAGGGAGGGTGCTCAAAGCCAGTACTGAACATTTTTGTTTGTTGCATTTTAATAATTATTACAGCTGAGGGAAGAATTTAGCAGCAAAGTTAGGTCAACAATTGCAGCAATGCGAGAGCTTTCGGCTACTACATCTAGCAGTCAACCGGAACTTACTACTTTGTTTCAACTTGCTGCTCATGAAGCTGAAAAGTCCCGTACGCAGGGTCGCATTTTAAGAGTGGTGAGTAGTGGCTGCCATCAGTGGGCTGTCAAATCACTTCATGTTGGATTGTGTAAATATATCATCATGTGCTTGGTTTGAAGTTTTCAAAATTTATTTGTTACGTGACATACTCACGGATCGTAATATGTTGTTTGCTATTCCTTTCTAGATTCTATTCTACTGCAGATCGACAGTGCGCACACAACATCAGTGGCCTGGGAACAGGAGGCTCTTCACTTTGGATATCATATACCTTCATGACAAACCTGGACCTGACAATTGCCCACAAGAGGTCTATGATACACTGGTCGATACTCTTGAACATGTTACATACTACGAGGGTTATATCTTTGAGAGTGGACAAGCGTCAGCGAGGGTTCTTTTCCGTCATGTGTCAGTTCTATTGTCGCATCCTCAGCAGCGTTGTATCCAAGATTACATCAACATACCTAAACCACTTGCAATGAATGCTCTTCGGGTGGAGCCAATGGCTGACTGAAAATAATTCTCCAGTATCTACCCAGTGAGAATGACATGGTCGTTTTTGTTCTCCCATATCATTTAGGTTACTGGTTTATTGTGGTATCTGATACTAGGCCCTGGTAATTTTCTGTAAACAAATTGTGTCTTTAACGTATATGAGAAAATGTGTATATGTTTCAGGTGTCTGATTATTACAGATACCACATTACCAATTGTAGAATAAAAAGAGAAGTCCCTCTTATCATAAATCAACTTTTTTTTTATCAACTCTTTTTCTTCCTCAACCTTCATACAAGCCCTAACAACATGTTGCATTCATCCTCAACCTTCATACAAGCCCTAAAGCATTTAACGATTGATTGAATTATGTTTATGCATTCATCCTCAACCTTCATACAAGCCCTAACAACATGTTGCCACTTTCATTTATATCAAACATATTGTTAGAAATAATTATAAGATATAAATATCAAATACTAATACTCCAAATCTTAGATCTTATGCCAACATGGAATAAATTTGCAACTTCACTATACCTTGAATCAAATTTTATTTTAATCATCAAGAATACGGGGGCAACAGGAATGAAACTTTAAACAAGTTGGTCACAAAGCTTCAACACCATGTCAATGACCGATTCAATCCAAAAGCTTAAGATGAAATTGTCACGTGAAGGCATTGCAAATGCTTTATATCTCTACCAGCATATGAAATTGTTATTTTTATTTATCTTCTGTCAAAGTGTGTAGCATATTGAAATCTAACAATTAGCTACTTATAGCAAATATAATGCAAGTCGTGTCACAATGTGTAAGCTCATAGTTGGTATAACTAAAAATGGTCACATGTCAACATTTTGGGCTTATATAATGATTGAGAGGTTTGAGTTTATATAAAGATTGAGATGAAGATACAAACATAAATTTAAAATTTGATCACACTAGATTGAGATTTGAGTTTATATAAAGATTGAGATGAAGATACAAATATAAACTTAAAATTTGATCATACTAAAGTATGTTATGTGGAAATGATGCTACCCTGATTCTAATGTTTAAAGCAATATGTTTTCAAAAAAGTTTACACATTGGCAGGACAAACGCCTCTCGTCTTATTGAATAGGAAATTGTAAATAACTAACTATAATAGTACTAAGGTTAATGGAGTTCCATGTCTTAGGGATGAGTCTTCCATCAAACTCTTCAAGTTTGTAAGCACCATGCAGCAATTTTTTACATACGTGATACAGAGCTTTTCAACATTGGTGTTTGCATCGTATACCGTTGTGATCGGAGTATCTTTAGTGGTTGAATGGGGAGTGGTGTGATACAACCACAACATTTTGTGGAGTTGTTTGGCCTTTATCCCCTTAGCGTTGTCCAACTTTTCATCTATATCGCTCAATATCACCGATTTGGCTTAGGCGTTTGCCTGCTGGTGATCAACCAAGGTGAAATTTGTTTGTATCCTTAAGTTTTGATGGAATTGGCCACAATTGAGCTGAAGAATCATGTGATATTGTCTGAGATGATGACTCCGGGTAAACTGAACCTGTATATGGCCTGCGTCAATAGACGCGACGAACTCTTTCTGCTATTATTTTGGAGACGCCCCTACCTCTATCCACTTTGTGAAGTAGTCTACTTCGACGATTAAGAACTTCGGTTGACTAGGCGCCAGAGGAAAATGACCTAGTATGTCCACGCCCTATTGATAAAATGACATGCCATACTTATCTTTATGATGGTCTCTCATATTTTTGTGTCCAATCATAATGTTGTTAGATGTAATTTCATTTTCATCTAGGCATAACATCTTTTAGTTTAGCCTACATGGCATTTTTAGTTTGTGTATTTAAAAAATTGTGTAATTGTTTTTCATTATCAATCCATAACAAAATTTTAATTCCTGAGAAGTTAGTTACATTTTCTTTCTTCTCTCTCTTTCATCTTCATCATATTCATCTTCTTCCTCTTATACACCAACAATTGATATCTAGAGCTTCAGATCCACGGGAAACACCAAGTGGAATATGAGTGTATGTGATTGATTTTGTTTCTTGAATTCACGATCAAAATTGTAACAAAATTGCATTTCTTGATTTGTGGGATTGGGAAACACGAGTTTTTGGTGATATCTGGGTGAATTCTTGCACAAGATCGAAGATGAACGAATTTAAATATGTGTGTTGTTTGGCGCTCAAGATGTTCTTGATCTCGTCAATGGAGATTATGCAACGGTTATAACAGATGCAACTAAAGCACGAAGGAACACATATAGAGAGATGAGGAAGGAGGATTAGAAAACTCTATTATATATCTATCAGTGTGTGAATGTGAATGTGTTTGAGAAGATCGTTGATTCGACAATGGCGAAGGCTGCGTGAGATACACTAGTACGTTTCTATGGCGGTGATGCATCAATGAAAAATGTGAAATTTCAGAGTCTATGTAAGCAGTATGAGAATTTCAACACGAAGAAGGATGATAAGGTACCTGATTACATCTCTAAAGTGATTCTGATCATAAATGAGATGAAGTTTTATGGAGAAAATCTCTATGAACAAGTAATCATTGAAAAAGTACTAAGATCTCTTACTCCTCAGTTTGATTACATTGTTGTAGAAATTAAACATTCTAAGGATCTGAGCACCATGAGAATTAAAGAGTTGTATAGCAGTCTAGAGGCACAAGAGTTACGTCTGACTGAGAGAACCTCTAAAAGAGAGGTATAGCATGCTCTAAAGGCATCTTCTGGTAAGAAAAATCAGAAGCAGTCTTGGTCTAAAACCAAGAAGAGACATGCTGATGGCTATCAAAAGTCAGAAATCTCCAACTCTGATGAGAAGAATCATCAGAAGGGAAAGGAGAAGTTTGACAAAAATAAGGTTCAATGTTACTATTTTAAGAAGTTTGATCACTTTGCTGCTTATTGTTGGTCAAACAAGGAAAGAAAATCAAAATAAGCAAACATAGCCAGAGGAGAATCTGATGATGAACATGTGTTATTGATGGCTTCTAAATATAATGGTGGATATTTGGTAGACTGGTGGTACAGCACACTGGTTGCTCAAATCATCTAACTGGAAACAAACAATGGCTGCTCAAATCATCTAACAGGAAATAAACAATGGTTGATATACTTTGACTCTAGAAAGAGGACAAATATCAGATGTGTTGATGATAAGTATCTAAATGTTGAAGGAATGGGAAATATCAAGATCAGAGTGAAGAATGGAAAAACTGTTATGATCAAGGATGTTTGATATGTTCTTGGCATAAAGAGCCATTTGATGAGTGTATGTCAGCTAATTGAGAAAGATTTCTCAGTTACCATGAAGGACAATCTCTTGAAGTTGTATGGTTCTGATCAGAAGCTGATTATGCAGTCTAAATGGGGAAGCAACTGAACATTAAAAGTGAATATGGAGACAACTAACACTAAATGCCTTAGTGAAGAAGGTGCTAAAGGTGATAGTGAGTTGTGGCAGAAGAGATTGGGGCATCTGAACTTCAGAAGTTTAGGGCATCCGAGTTCTAAGAAACTGGTATATTGCATTCCTAAGATTGTGAAGCCTGAGAAGTCATGTGAGATATGCATGAAAGGAAAGCAACCAAAATTGCCATTTGCGTCAGAAGTAGCCATGAGAGCAAAACATGCTTTGGAAATAGTGTATTCTGATGTATGTGGGCCATTTGAAGTACTTTCACTTGGAGGAAACATGTATTTTGTATCTTTTGTAGATGGTTCACAAGAATGACATGAGAAACATTCATCAAGTTTAAGCATGAGGTGTTTGCTGAGTTTTAGAAGTTCAAGGTGAAGGCTGAAAAGCAAGGTAGTCATGAGTTGAAAGTTCTCAGAATTAACGGTGGAGGTGAGTACAACTCTACAAATTTCAAAAGGTTCTGTGAGGATAACGAAATTGAGCATGAGGTTACTACTTCATACACTCGTCAACATAATGGTTTTGCTCAAATAAGAAACAATTTTTTTTCTTAATATGACAAGGAACATGTTGAAAGAGAAGAAACTACCTCACACCTTGTGAGGGAGAATTTGTTGCCACTGCAGCATATGTCCTAAACAAGTGTCCAACCAAGAAGCTAACATAAATTGTTCCTTTAGAGAAGTGGACTGGAAATAAGAAAAGTGTGAGCCATCTGAAGGTGTTTGGTACTGTTTGTTACAAACATGTTATAGATGCTAAGAGAAGTAAGTTGGATGACAAAAGCAGAGTAATGTTGCTTGTAGGATACCACAGTAAAGGTGCTTATAAGCTTTACTATCATGTCACTAACAAAGTTGAATTCAACAAAGATATTATTTTGAAATAATCAGAAACATGGGAGTAGAACAGGTCTCAATCCAACTCTGGTGTAGTGTTAACATTTGAGTTAACTTCTAAAGGAAATCCAGAGTCTAAAGATGAGTCAGAGTCTGAAGGTGACTCTAATGCTGAAGAAAAGTCTGAAGGTGAACATGACTCTGAAGGTGAATCTGATTATGATCTAGATTCTGATGATGATCCATACTCTGGTGGTAATCATGCCACTAAAGATGGACTAAATTCTGAAGGTAGCCCAATATTTGATATTGTTCCAACATCTGAAGAAGATACTGAACAAGTTCAGATACCACAAAGAATCATACAAATATCAAGAAGATATTTAGAGTTTGACATTTTACGAGATACTAAGGTCAACTCTGAAGGGGAAGTCATTCAATATGCCATGTTGGTAGACTCTAAACTAGTAAGTACTGAAGAAGCTCTCAAGAAGAAAGTGTGACTGAAGGCCTGTTAGTCCCTAAAATTCGACATCTTTTACTAGTCCAGATAGTAAAATAAGTAACGTCAAAAGGATTTCATGACAAGGGAGGAAACCGGTCGAAGAAGGATGGAACGCAAGGGATGTCGAAGTCTTCACGGTAGCAGGAAAATATTCATGGATTCGACCGTTGCAGGCAGTTAGCTTGAAGGTTTGAAATTCAAACGAGATAGAAAAGGTGGTTAGT